GGTGGAAAGTGCAATGGCATTTATCTAAGGAAAAGAGAAAAAAAACAGGAACAAATTATTTATAAGAGGACAAAGAAGCTTTTTAAAAGGCCCACAGAGATGGTTCACTTGATAAAGATTTGCCTCTCATACATGAGGACCTGAGTTGGGATCCCCAGTATCCTCATAAAAAAGTCTAGTGGGGAGAGACTGGTCTATGATTCCCGAGCACACGTGTGTGTGTGTGTGTGTGTGTGTGTGTGTGTGTTGGACAGAAACAGGCAAGTCACTGAGGCTTAATTGCCTGAGCTAACCTTAGTAGGCTAAAAGACCTCGACTCAAAAAAATAAGATGGAGTAGCAGAAGATGACATTTGCTGTGAACTTCTGACCTCTGCATGCACACATGGGTGAGAGTGCGCGCACACACAGATGCACACACACACACACACACACACACACACACACACACACACACTTACTAGGTGGTTACATGGGCCCCAGAGGCTGGAATGCCTGTAACAGTCTTTGTTTTACATATCTGAGCTTGGAAGCCAGCAGCATGTACCTGAGCTGGCTCATCTAGGCCCCTCTACATTAGGATGCTGAGAAAAAAGCTCACTACTTTACATGCTGGTGAATCCAATTTCCTTTTTCTTTTTTCTCTCTATATAAACAGGATAAAAAGTTGGGAAAGATATTTTTTCCTTCATACAAATATCTTGGCTGATGTAATAAATGACGAAGCATAAAAGTTACATACATACCAGCATTTTAAACCTATAATGAAATAATGAACCAGGGTAATCATCCATATCTAATAATACCAGAGAAAATGATCAACCGAGGGCTTTCAATAGAGACACCAGACTACTCTTCCTAAAGCAGCAAAGTGTTCTCGACAAAGAAGAGTTCTGTTTGTGAATGCATTTATCTCAAAACTGTCATATCGACACTCTAAATCTAATGTGGAACCAGCGGAGGCAGATGGCAGGTAGGTGCACAGGATAGATGACCCAGCTTTTCAACAAATAAACTTCTAGTGGGAAACAAGAGATGGGGTAAGCAACCTATTAGTCAATGGCACCTTATGAACACTATTGGAACAAACAGTAAACCAAGCTCTAAAAATTACATGAGAATATGTATATTTACACATGTCTATAACACATATATATGTATATATTCACACATATACGTATACATATGTCTCTACATGTACATATTTTACCTAAGAGGGAAACTGGGGAAACATGAACAGGTACTAAAGTGATTGACATTATTGAGAAACAACTAATTTTTAAGATATGAAATTTTTAAAAAAATTTTGTTTTCTGTAGACATCTATTAAGATATGAATAGATGAATTAGCATCATACATGTGACTTGTTTCAAAATTTGTAGTGGAAGGGATGGGTGGAAAGGAGACTGAGTGACAGTGAGTTAAGACTAGGTGATGGGCCGTTCCCTGCTTATAGGTAAGATCAAATTTTTCTATAATAAAGCTTAAAATATGAGCACAAATAACAAAAACTTAGGTATCTAACATTAGAAAGATTTTGAAAATGCTATTAGACTATATATTCCATCTTAGAGTATATCAAGGCCACGTTGAGGGCTTTTGCCACCTTAATAGACCCCAAACACCAAACAATCTGTGTCATAGCCCGCAGGACTGAGCAGTGGGAAGAAGCTGAGAACCACTGTGCAAACACTTCACGCACAGGAATGTGCATTATCCACAGGGTGTTGGCCCAAGTGTCTTAAATGTCTAGTGTCTAAGAGACACTCAAGAAATATTTGGTGAATGAGTGACTGACCCAAGGTATGTAATGGCAGCTAACTGTACATGTGCAAAAACAGCAAGTCATATTTGATATTGAAACCTCTAGGCTCACTGGCCCGAGAGGGCAGGGCCCCATTTCAAGTAGAATGGATTTCCTTCATAAAGCCACAGACCAGTCAGTCCGAACACCTACGAGTAAACACCCAGAATAAAAATAGTTTTATACACACGACTAGGTGTGGGTGTGGCCAGCAAACACTCTGATTCTACAATCTGTTTTGGACAAGGCAGTACTTAGAATGTGACTAACAAAGCAAACGGTTGGCAGAGCCCGTGTGCTGAAATAAGCACAGTATTTGCCAAAAGGGCTGAAGAGCCAGTCTGCCAGTAACACACACTCCTCAAAGCTGGGGAACAGACGGAGACACTCACACGTGTTCACACAACCACCCAGCATGAACCCTATTTCTACTTTTCTCAAATATGAAATGGGTTCTGACTATAGGGGGCAGTAGGAGGGGATTAGAAGTCTCTTGGTCTAATATGTTTCACTGTGTTGCTGAAAAGCCAGATGGGTATAAATGCTGAGGAAGCAGTTCTGAAAATATCAGCAGAAGCCACAGCTGGACAAACTGCACAGGGGCAGATTTCGGCGTCTACAGCTGAGAAATACTCTGCTGAGTGTTCACAGGAATGAGACCCAAGCAGATAAAGCCTCAGGAGCAAGCATACGCACAGGTGTAGATGTGACCACACACACACACACACACACACACACACAATTACTAAGAATGCCTTTCTACAGTCTTCCTTCCAGCACTGAGGAGCAGGTATGTTCCTCCTAGTTCAGAATGGTCTCTACTGAGCATGTGCAAAGGAGGCTGGCTTGACCTGTCACTTGCCCTTTGTAGTCTCTCAGATGCAGTGCAGCTTGTATTACTAAAAGAGCTGGTTTTTATATCATTTACACTAGAATAACTACTCTCTGGGTCTCCTGATAATCTAAACTAATTTTTTTAAAAAGCCATATTTAAAACCAAGTATGGTGTTATACTTCTGTTTTCCCAGTACTTGTGAGGCTGAGACAGGAGGACTGCTGTGACTTAAGAGGTATCTGGGCTATACACAAGGATCAGGCTAGCTAGGGCTTTATCCTAGGACCCTGACAAACAAAAACAAAACTTCTAAAAGTGGTATTTAATATATATATATACCTGAGCGTTACACAGAAATATACATAATAATATAGTTTAAATTCTTTTTTACTTATTTATTTGTATGTGTGTGTGCCTGAGTGGATGTATGTGCATTTCATACATACAGTAGCAGTACAGGTGAGAAGACGGGGTCAGATCCCCGGGAACTTGAGTCATCATGTGGGTGTTGGGAACCAGACCCATTCTTCTGGAAGGCAGTGAGAAATCTTAAGCACTGAGCCCTCTCTCCAGTATCTCAATAACATAGACTGTTAAATGTGGCAGCAAGCAAAACATTTAAAAGATGGGAGAGGAAAAAGGAATTACGCATTTGTATTTCAACAACTGCACAAGAATTTGTTCAAACACACACAGGAAAGGACCTGCAAGAGGAAAAGCAATATGAAAAGAACACATTTTTATTTCATCAACAGCCAGTATTCTAGTTACTGGTCAATCCTGAGCCCACAGTGCTCTAGTGCTAGCTAGATGAATCCATGCTGTGCGCCAAACCTGCTCCAAGCCTGCTCACCGGCACAACTCATTTGTCTCAGAACGAAATGATGACATTAAACGGCAGGCGAAGCTTGGTCTCTCAACTCCTTACTATTACATTCCTCCAGATCCTGAAAGCTGATAATAAGGTCTCTAAGGTTGTAAAAGAGAAAACCACCGACTGGAACTGACGGTGATAATGTTTATTTCTCTGGGAGAAAAATATTTCTCATCTGGATGCTTCAAGATCCCTGTAGCATCAGTCAATCTTATTTTTAAAAAGCAAAGCCTGAGGATATTTTCCCTTTGAAATGAAATAGCAATCTGATGTAAATAAACATATCATAGGGTTATCAAGTTAGCAGGCTTCTCAACTATAAGGTATAATAAAAAGTTAAGGAGGAAAATCTAAATCCACTTATTGACTTTTGTGTTGTTATGAACAAAAAATTTAAACTGTTCAGCGAAGTTAAACAGCTAACTGCACAAGTTCAAGATGTCTTGCACTTGTCTCAAAATTTAAAAATATTTAATATGAAAATATGAAATATTTAATGCTATCTTTCCCCTATGTTAGCCTCTAAAAGCTTGCTCTAAAATTCTGATATGCAAAATAATGTACCTACATTTTCACTGTTTTTCCCTTTAGTTTAAGCTCTCAAAATTAGCAAAAATTTGGGTCAGATACTTCTATGAAACTTTTTTTCTAATAACTGACGGATTAACATGATGACTTAAATTCATATTCTACCTAAAATAACTCTCGTAATTTTCTACCAAATATTTTCAATCAAATAATACAAGAATGTACTTTTTAAAAATAAGGGCAAATCATCATTCCATCATTAACCCACACTGGAGTTAGAACTCCTAAAATGAAATATAGAAAAAAAGGACACAGCTAAAGCTATTAATATATATTGAAGACAAAGACTTTATTTTTTAATAAGAAAACAAGGAAAAGAGAACCCAGCGTGATTTTGTGTGCCTGCCCAATAGGACTTTCCACTGTAATTAGTGTTTACCACCCCTGAGGGGTGGAGCTTAAACAGCGTAACCTCATGCAGTAAGAGGATAAAACAGTATAAATACCCCAGGGCAGCTGTGGGAGGGCATCATCCACTGCTCACCGGGCAGAGGAAGCCAGGGAAGCTGCCCACACATCGCCAGGAACTCCCAGCACCAGGTAAGTCTGGACCGAGGATCACTGGAAGACATCCCGGTCAGGTAACTTAGAAACAAACTTCAGTCAGTTATAGACATCTTTGTATGTGTGCATGATTTTAAAAAGTGGCTTTCTACCAAGGCACCCAGACAGGTTCATTTGTAGTTACCTTTTTAAGATATTCTTCATAAAAACGACTGTACAAATTTGCCTTAATATGAATTTCAATGTATCTTGAAATTTCTAGTTATTTCAGGTTATATCATTGTTTAATTGTTTAATATAGTCATCTAGTAATGAGATTATTTGGGGAGGGTCATTTTATTTGTAAAGCAGTATTTGAATGAAACTTCTCAAAACTAATAAGACATATATTCATATAATAAAAAATTACCTATTATTCTATGGAATATATTCAAGATATGAAAGGTCAGCCATAAAAAAACGAGATAACTATATAATGAATCAATTTGTAGAGCATCACAAAAATAAAACAGATAAGTCATGAGGCTACATGTAATTATTCTCTTCTGTTTTTCAGAATTCATCTGAAACTATGCTGCCACAAATAGCCTTTCTGCTGGTCATGTTCCTAACCTCGGTTCATGGAGTGTTTTATGCCGAGAGATACCAAACACCCACAGGCATAAAGGGCCCGCTTCCCAACACCAAGACACAGTACTTCATCCCATACGCCATAAAGAGTAAAGGTAAAGTCAGCTGCACATTCTGCTCTACTAACCAGAGGGCTTGTGTTGTCAAATATTGATGATGTACTCCTTAACAAAATACTTTCCAATCTGTTCTTATTCTATTTTCAATTCTTGGTTGAAATGATGTGTGTAAAGAAGAGGTCTGTACGGGAATATAATATTCCTGGAGAAGGTGGTAGAAGAGAAAGACACATTTGAGGAATACCAAAGACTATGGAGCTGGATTTTTTTTCCTTTCAAATGATGGTTTCATACAATTTACCATTTACCCAGAATCTAGAAAAATCAATCCAATAAAATTAAGTTAATTTAAACTAAAAACAATTTCATAGACTAGGAATTTTATGTATCTAGTTACTTAAACATTTGCTTCAAAAACCCAAGGCTGCAGATATTAAAGAAAACTGGTATCAAATAAAACCAGACAGCCCTCAATAAACCTAATAGGCAAAGGAAGTAGTAATTCTCATGATCATTTATATATTCATATATAGTACACTGGTTAAATGTACAGACATAACTAACTGCCAAGGGCAGCTGTGAAGTTTGCCGAGTGTGTATGTCTGGCTATTACCATATCCATGCACTGCCTCCTCTTCTACTTCTCCATGGGGATAGCCTGAGACATTTTATCTTTCCTCTGGAATCTAATGCTCACCTGTCTAGCTGTGTTACTATGAAGGGTGCCAAGACAGTCCATGTGAAATAACATGAGATCGTCAAAGAAGGGCAACAATCCAGTCGTGTCTTTGCTAATTCCACCTAACAGACTCAGATACGGTGACCGCTGACTGACAATACAAACTCTCCTGATTCCACTTCCCACAGTATTTTTTGCCTTATTCATATGTTTTGTTCTGCATAGAGCAAAATGTGTGTTGTAATCTTTAAGTGGTACAGTTTTAGAAAGATATGTTGAAAAAACTGAATGTTTAAGAATGTTTTTTAAAAGCATTAAATATTTCATGAAGGCAGCTTAATGTTTAAAAAATATTAGATACTCTTTTTTTTATAAACTTGAATTTTTATGGTTTTATTACCATGAAGAGTAGAACCCTCCAGTGAGATGCTTCAGAGACTCCACAGATGAGTGGTTCGAGATACATGCCCTGGCAAATATCTCAGTGGGTTCAGGAATGGATGGTAAGGGCAGAGAAGGGAGTGGGGCTCTGCAACTTGTTTCTTTTTATAGTGAAAAGATCCGAGAGATACTCTGGACTGTCCATAACACCTATCAACTGAGGAAAAGATAAAAGCTGGAAGGAAAGACTAGAAGCCAAACTTACTCCACCTTAAGGCAGTGAGCGTAGTTTGGAGTGCCAACAGGCAGAAACGAGCGTGGCACTTTGACCAAAGTCAGATCTTTTAGTATACTACTAATATTCTAAAAAGTGTTGGATTAAAACGAGAACATACCACTGCTAGAAGGTTAGACGTGCTTCTGTCTTCACTCCTGAGACATGCAGAACACACGGAAATATCTTCTTAACACACACAAAGTGGAGAAGCTGTGTTTTAATTAGTAAACCTACCCTGGTCTCTTTCTGATAATGAATAGAAATCCCGCCCACTTCCAGGCATCAGGGTCCTATAAGGAACACAGAGGCTGACAGGGAGAACAGTCCAAGCACACTAATTGTGCTGGAGGGAAGCGACTCCGCCAGCAGTGCAGCCTGCTGACCCTTAACCTTCACAGAAGGGAGCAGCTATTCTTGAGGGACAGTGCACCCTGATCTTCCTTTTGTAGACTAGGAGCTGATAACTAGCCTCCCAAATATGCACAGAAGCCAGACTCTTTCTTGCACTGAGAGGTTTAGGATCCTAAGAGCACCAGTCCAGGCTACAAAGGTCACTGGAGGGCAAGCTTCCAGCAGAGTCTGATGCTACCCCTTCCAGTAAGATGTGTTCCTCTCTTTGTTTTAACAGTAAAACATTTCCATAATTCTATGACAATTATTTTTTGCATAAACATGGATGCTGAAGTAAATTCTGCATTTGAAAACAAAGCTATTTTACTCTAAGCCATTAAAAATTCCTTATTTACTAATCAATTCTATTTTGTGTGTCAAAGTTTATACATACATATCATGGATGTATACCAAAGTAGATATCAGGAGTTATCTTTGAGAATATTAGTAACTACTGTTGGTTGACTACTCTTTAAGTGCCAGATATTTAATAAGAGATATTTTTTAAAAATTAATGTACTTGCATACAAACAACTATTGGCTAAAGGGAATATTCTTAAAAATGTTATTAAAATAATTTACAATTGTGAATAAATATCCCCTAGTCTACATTTTGACTTTTCAAACCATTAATCTTAAACATTTATCATATTAAAAGTTAGCTAAAAATTATAGGTACATAGTTATGAGTTTATTAGCTCAGTGGTAGAGCATTCGCCAAGCATGTGTAAGGTCCTGGTTTTGAGATCTAGGACTAATACACACACACACACACACACATATACACACACACATACACACACACAATAAACAGATTATAGTTAAACATTATTTTACAGTTTTGAGGTATCTACTCTCACATCTGCTAACGTAGCATTACTATGAACTGCTTTCCAACAATATACAAATATAAAGGCTTCTGAAAACTTATTAAATAATTTAAATGAAAATTGTACAAGTATTTAATTAATACATCTGCAATTTTACTGTTGTCTTTACTAGTTATATATAACTTCTCTGAGAAAAACCACTTTGTGCGACATTTACAATGACTGTCAGCACATAGGATCAAGCATGGTTTTCATGGCACATAGTAATGCTTACACCTCAGGCTAAATCCCACCTCTGAGTGGCTTCTTAAAGCAACTTTATCCCCGAGGCTTTAGGTTTCACCCCCATGTCTGGTCCAAGAGCATGTCCTGTCACAGGCACTGAATAAGGGTTACTGAAGATGTTTGGCATAGCAGGAAATTGTTTTGGTTAGACGAATCCACAGCATTGAGGTTAAGAACATTTATTGTATCTTTATCATCATTTTGAAGTGATTCTATGTGCCTCATCAATGCATTATGCCTAGTCCTGTCATTCTTTACTTCAATTTTAACTCAGTGAAGGAGAAGAAAAGCCCAAGTATACACTGAGGCTGTGAAACAAGAGTCTAAATCTAAGCAGTTCGGTAGGACACACTGATCAGCTTTAAGTCTCTTATCGATACCTTAGAAAATCACCTGCTTGAGGCTAGACTGCGTAACTCTTTTTTTTCTCTCCTTCCCTTCCTGACTACATGATCTTAAGACAAATGTCATCAACTCTCTTCCATGCGATGTTTACACTAAAGGGATTCCAGTTTGTTTTCATTGCCTCATTAGGATGACTCTACAGTCATGGTAGCTGTGGCTTTGTGAAACCACCTTCTCCAGAAGTTTCTGAACAAATATAACACATATACCATCCAATCCCATTGAAGACGATTGTGTGGAAGATTTACCTGGAATGCAGGGACTACCACACTCTGCCCTTACTGTGCTTTGAGAATCTCCGGTTGCTTCTATGCTGCTTATATTGAGTGGTATGTTGGTGTGTCTTATAGGAATCCCGGTAAGAGGAGATCAAGGTGTTCCTGGTCCACCAGGCCCAGCTGGACCCCGAGGACACCCAGGTCCCTCAGGACCTCCAGGAAAGCCAGGTTATGGAAGCCCCGGGCTCCAAGGAGAGCCAGGGTTGCCAGGACCACCAGGAATATCAGCCACTGGGAAGCCAGGCCTGCCAGGTGTGCCGGGCAAACCAGGGGAGAGAGGACCACATGGACACAAGGGAGATATTGGACCAGCTGGCTTACCAGGCCCTCGGGGCCCTCCAGGACCACCTGGAATCCCCGGTCCAGCTGGAATTTCTGTGTCAGGAAAACCTGGACAGCAGGGACCTACAGGTGCCCCAGGACCCAGGGGCTTTCCTGGAGAAAAGGGGGCACGAGGAGCCCCTGGTGTGAATGGACAGAAAGGGGAAACAGGATATGGTGCTCCTGGCCGTCCAGGTGAGAGGGGTCTTCCAGGCCCTCAGGGTCCCGTTGGACCCCCTGGCCCTCCTGGAATTGGAAGAAGAGGTGAAAATGGTATTCCAGGACAGCCAGGCATCAAAGGTGATCGGGGTTTCCCTGGAGAAAGGGGACCATCAGGTCCACCAGGTCCCCAAGGTCCTCCTGGGAAACAAGGACAGGAAGGTATTGGGAAGCCAGGAGCTGCTGGAGCCCCGGGTCAGCCAGGTATCCCAGGAGAAAAAGGTCACCCAGGAGCTCCAGGAATAGCTGGACCTCCAGGAGCTCCAGGCTTTGGAAAGCCAGGCTTGCCAGGATTGAGAGGACAAAGGGGACCTGTTGGTCTTCCTGGGGCCCCAGGAGCCAAAGGTGAACAAGGGCCAGCGGGTCATCCTGGGGAGGTGGGTTTGACTGGATCTCCTGGGAATATGGGACCCCAAGGACCTAAAGGAATCCCAGGGAACCATGGTATCCCAGGTGCTAAAGGTGAGACAGGTCCAGTTGGGCCTGTAGGACCACCTGGGGCTAGAGGAGCAAGGGGTCCCCCTGGGGTAGATGGAAAAACAGGGTACCCTGGGGAGCCAGGTCTGAATGGTCCTAAGGGCAACCCAGGGTTACCGGGCCCAAAAGGCGATCCTGGAGAGGGAGGACCCCCTGGTCTCCAAGGTCCTATTGGCCCTGCAGGACCTAAGGGCGTGCCTGGAAACAATGGTGAGGCAGGTCCAAGAGGTGAACCTGGAAGACCAGGTGGCAGGGGCCCCATTGGGCCACCAGGTATCCCAGGATTCCCTGGGGCTAAGGGTGTCCCTGGAAACCCAGGTCCTCCTGGCCCAGCTGGCATAGCAACTAAGGGCCTCAGTGGGCCCACTGGTCCTCCAGGTCCCCCTGGTCCAAAAGGACACAGTGGAGAGCCTGGTCTCCCAGGTCCCCCAGGTCCCCCAGGACCCCCTGGCCAAGGAGTCATGCCTGATGGCTTCATAAAGGCAGGCCAAAGGCCTCTTGTCAGTGCTAACCAGGGAGTAACAGGAATGCCTGTGTCTGCTTTTACTGTTGTCCTCTCCAAAGCTTACCCAGCAGTAGGTGCCCCCATCCCATTTGATGAGATTTTGTACAACAGGCAGCAGCATTATGACCCAAGAACTGGAATCTTTACCTGTAAGATCCCAGGAATATACTACTTCTCCTACCACGTGCACGTGAAGGGGACTCACGTTTGGGTAGGGCTGTATAAGAACGGCACCCCTACAATGTACACATACGACGAGTACAGCAAGGGCTACCTGGACCAGGCTTCAGGGAGTGCAATCATGGAGCTCACAGAAAACGACCAGGTGTGGCTCCAGCTGCCCAATGCAGAGTCAAACGGCCTCTACTCCTCTGAATATGTCCACTCCTCCTTCTCAGGATTTCTAGTGGCTCCCATGTGAGCACGCAATACCAAGCTCTTCTAAACGCTCTGCTTGGAAAGGCTTTTCCCCAACTTCATCGTGCCCACCCTGGAGATGCATGTGGAGGTCGGCTAAAAGTAACGTGAGCACCTTAAATCTTCTAAAATGCACTCCGAGGCCACATTTCCTCTGTAACGTGAGCACCAAAGGTGACTATGTGAGGCCTCTCCTGAGCACCCAGCAGTCGTAAAGCCCTGGGGGGTTTCTGTGAATTCCCTTAATATTTATTTAAAAAACTATCACAAAAACAGAAATAAGGTTCTAACTCACCATACATTTCATTTCAGAAATGCAGCATTTCTTTTTTAAAAAGCCTGTTTTTAATAATTAACATGAAAATGTCTAAGAAACATGCAGCAAGTATCACATAATTTTGTATTATTTAAATACTTGAATATTCAAATTTAAAAGACACTGTATACCCTAGGATATTTCTGATGGTGCATCACTCTATGGCTCATGTAGCCCCTTTCATCAAGATAAATTAAAATACACAGGTGCATACACACTGGTTCAAGCTCTTATGAGAAACCAAAATACTGTATTAAAATTACTTTGAATTACAAGGTGCTTTGTCACAAATCTTTTCAAGCTTTCCTGCAACTAAAGAAAGTCCACATACCTGGTGCAACTTGGAAGCAGGTGTCTGACCTAGTCTTAAGTTTGTCACACAGTGTGAACACTCTGAATTAATTCTGCTGCGTCTTTGTAATAGGATGTTATGGGCTTACAGAACATTAGCACAGACTGCCTTCCATCCCAGTGAAAGTAAAGTTAACATTAAAGATTTCAAAATCAGATAGAAACGAAAAGACATTATTTATTTATGCTCTGTACTGTATTTTTATATTACTGTTTAAAACTGTTAAGCTGTACCTCACTTATTAAAGCATGGAGTATTTAATCTACTTGTTATTACAAAGCAATAAAATGACATGAATAGATCTTGCTTTCCATTCTTGAAATTATTTCCAAGCAACAGCTGGGTTTTCTCAACCATGCTTTTCCTTGGATAAAGGTAATGAGAAAATAATGGATGAGTTCCCTGCTGTCATGGGTTTGTCCTTCTGTCAAGACGGGCATGGCACACACCATGGACAATGAGGAGGTAAAGGATAGCCTCTATGAGCCAGGATCAAGGCTGATGAATAGACACAAGAAAATAAAAATATATAAACAACACTTTAGAACACAGGGTTTATCTTGGCAGAAGAAAAGATGTCAGAGAAATATCAAATTGGAACAAATATCCTACAATTATTATTTATGAGCTTAGCACATTTTTAGTCATAATATTTAGAATTATTCTGATGGCTTGATTTACTGAAAGGAAGGCATATAATTTTTTGTTGTCAACCAAAAGGCAACATATTTCAAAACTTAAAATCCTGCTGACTCCATCAGCCCATTTGTTAAAGAAGCCATTCTGACTCAGTCACTAGGGCAATGTAGCATAAAGGTTGTTTACTCCTTGGGGTAAGATTCTCTCTGTAAAACTGCAGAGGAAAGCAAAAAGCCCTAGCTTGAGGTTGGTAGGACTAGCCCCCATTCTGGGTCATCCACTCCTATTCCTTAAACAAAGAGAATGGGAATTCCATCAGCGGGTACTTTGTCTGTCTGTCTGTCTGTCTGTCTGTCTGTCTGTCTGTCTGTCACTACTGTCCTGAGGGCTATAGGTGTCATCCCATTCCTAAGCCATGACACAAGGACTGGAACTTTTGTTGCACGGAACATCCCCCAGCCCAGGAGAGCTGAACTGGCAGGCCTGGGAAGACAGTGGAACCGACTGGTTCAGAGTCCTGACAACTACAACCACAGAGCAAAATGAATACAGGTACCAGAACTAATTTTACAGCAAACATTTTTATCAGAGTAAATCCCAAGTAAAGAGTAGAGCAAAAGAGGTAGCATCTACCGAGTTCAGTAGACACGGGGCGTTTAACAAACCTCTATCAGGAAGCCCCTCTTCATGTTACTCACCCTTAAAGGCTGACATTTTAAAATTGTGTTGTATACCAGCAACTACATCCTTCCAAAAATCAAATGTTTTTTGACCTCTGTTCTGCTAAAAAAAGAAATTTCCAAATGTAACAAGTGCAGTAATTCTGTTTGTAAGCATAGTGGTAAGCTATAGCAAATAATTACGTGTATTGACTCTAAGGTCGGAATTCAGGTTATAGAAAACACGACAGATTGATACAGAAATATTCCTCAAATATCACAGCTACAAGTCAACACATAAATAAACATCACTAAGTATTAATGCAGTTCATATAGTCCAAATAAGGTAAAAATTTCCACTCACACAGCCTAAAGTTATAGAATATTTAAACATACAAGAAATTTACCAAGTTCTATAGCTTCTGAAGCAATAAAATGTGCTACTTCAGACATGATGGCACCAACAGGGCCTAAATCAGGGTAGCTCAGCATTCACTGTCCAGTAAGCCTGCACTTCCACATACAAAGCAGTAACTCACGGCAACAGCACTAAGTCTAAAATGTAAATCACTACAAGGAGAACTTTCCAAGCTGGCAAAGCAATTCACATTCAACTACGCAACTCTACAGCTCTTTGCTTCATAGGAACAGGCAGTGTCTACTTTCTATACAGAAGCCTACTAAATCTTTATATACAATTATGCACACTACAAAATACTACAGGCTGATAAATGGGGGTGAAGTTCAGCAGTAGAGTCCTTGCCTGGAAGCGTAAGGACCTGGGTTTGATCCCCAGATCTGGAGGGGAGGGGAAGACTTGATACTTTTTCTCCCACTGGTGTATGATAAGAAACAGACTCCACTCATTCTGATAAAAACTGCAATGCTGCGATATACCTCAGTGGTGATGGGGATACAGCTCAGTGTGATGGGGATACAGCTCAGTGTGATGGGGATACAGCTCAGTGGTGCTGGGGATACAGCTCAGTGGTGCTGAGGATACAGCTCAGTGGTGATGGGCATATATATCAGTGTGATGGGGATACAGTTCAGTGTGATGGGGATACAGCTCAATGTGATAGGGCATATACATCAGTGTGATGGGGATACAGCTCAGTGTGATGGGGATACAGCTCAATGTGATGGGGCATATACATCAGTGTGATGGGGATACATCTCAGTGTGACGGGGATACAGCTCAGTGGTGGTGGGCCTATACGTCAGTGTGATGGGGATATACCTAGGCCCCAGGTAAAATTCCTAGCACCCAAACAAAACAAAACCAACAATCTCTCCTGCTCAATAGAAACTTTCACAAATGCATGACTTAATTCTCATTTCAATAATAAGCCAATTAATTATGGTTTTAAAATACAATGGATGCAAAAAGAAAAGTAATCCTGGCATACAGACCAAGTTATATCCATAAATCTTCTGTTTAAGTATAAATTGTCAAAACTAGAGATTTCATCTGAAAAGTCACAAAAAATGCTTCATTTTCCTGGTTGGATATTTCAAATACATAAAGATACATGGAATTTTTCTTAATTACCTGTACTTTTTTTTATCTGCTAATGAAAGCAAAAAAGTATTTGTCCAGAGCCTGTCTTCCGTTCCCTTTCTCTAGACCTTTACTCCCCCTACTGGAGAAGAGGAGAACTTTTGCCTAATCAAACATTTTTTAAAGGGTACTGTTATTTAATTTTCCAAAAACATTTTTGACCAAATTCATCATGTTTGCTTCCTCAGTTACCTCTGAAACCATCCAAAGAAAACAGAGTGAGATCTCAACTGAAAAGGGACACAGTTAATGCCTCTTACTTATGACTAAATGCAGTTGTTTAAACCCGAGCGCCCACTCACCTTTGTTAAGGAGTCCACCACCCTGGCACACAGAAGAGCCCCGGGCAGGTCAAAGTAGTTATCATAGAAGTAACACTTTCCTAGAACAAACAAACAGAAAAGAATCATTGCCTCCTCCTCATGGAAAAGAGAGAAACTGCCTGAAGGGAGCCTGGATGTTCATCTAACTATCTGAAAAGCCTGCACTTTATGTTACCCTGTGTGTTGGAGGTGGGGCAAGTGATGTGTCGGCAAGTGGAAATCAGATGACAGCCGGTGCCACTCCTCATACCATCTGTTTGTAAGACAGTGTCAGTCGCTGGCCTGGGACTTGTCACGGAGGCCAGGCTGAGTGGCCAGGGAACACCAGGATTCCACGTGTTTCCATCTCAAGCACTGGGATAACGAGTGCAGGTGGCACAGTGCCATGGCTTTTAAGTGAGAGTTCTGGGGGTTGAACGTAGGTCTTCCCTAGCCGTTTTAATGTTTTTTTTTTTTTTTGTGTTATACATATCCTTCAACAATGCAGCACACATTGGCACTGTTAGCTGGATATGGAGAGAACTTTCCATAGCAATTTCAGTGAAAAGACCATTTCAATTCAAACTAGCATTACTACAGGCTTTCTTTTTTCCAATTTTAAAGATTTATTTTGTTAATTTTATCTTTTTTTTTTGAGTGTGTCTGAGTATTTAATCTGCATGTATATATGCACTACATGGGTGTCAGTGCCTGGTACCTGTTGGTGGTCAGTACAGGTGTCAGAGCCCTTGGAACTGGAATTACTACAGACAGCTGTGACCTACCATGGGGGTGCAGAAAACTGAAGCCAGGTCATGGGCTAGAATAAAGACTCTTAACTGCTGAGTCACCTCTCCTGTCCCAGCCTTATCTTTTGAGGAATGTTTAAGCTCTAATGACCCTAAAAGAAAGCTGAAACACACATCTGCAAGTGAAGAATTTTATTAAAACACATTTCAATTGCAAAATAATATATAACCTGAAGATAATATATTATTACTATAAAATGCAATGTGAAGGAGTCACAATTTATTATTAATGCCACCAAATTCCAAAATAGCTAAATAATCTAACATTAGAGTCCCATGAAATTCTCCCTATACACTGCCAGGACACCTGTGCTGATAAAGCCATGTAGAATACTACACTCAACGTTTATGCCATTTCAGATGAATAGGAAAAGTTGAGACCAGCCAGGGTAATGACAGGAATAAAAATCCTGTCATGTGAGTGTATGGTGGTGTGGATCAGAAAATCTCAAGAGTCTGGGGCAAACGCATTCTAG